TTTCTGAATATGATCTCCCAATACAATAAAGGCGATAATTTATATTAAAGAGCGAGTTTATTCCTAAGCAGAACACTAATTGTGTGTCCCCTGTTTTAGTGTTGGTCCCGCCGCCACCACCCAAGGCAGCGGCCCTTCTGTCCGCCCACGCCGTGCACTGGCGCAGCTAGGCTCATTGAAATGCTGAAACGACGCAATTTAAAAAACGAAAGAAAAGGGCAGAGAGAAAGGAGGTAAGACGAGGGGAAACGTGCGCCTCGCGCGTCTCTTGTGGCTGCGCTGAGCGCCCTGCGCGGCCCTTTAGGCCTCTCCTCTACGAATAATCCGAACGGGGCAACCGGAAATTTTGTCGTGGTAAATAATCACGGATGGCTTTTGGTTTTGCATGTCCAGCACACAAACGACCCCTCCCCCCACACCCACACACACACATACTCACCCCCTACGCCAACAGAGCCGCGTGTGGCCCGCCGAACACGCAGGAGCAGCAAAAGGCTATATGTTGCGCCAATACTTCCATTTGCAATATTTCTGTGAGCCCGCCTGCCACACATACAAGCACGCAGAACGTGTGTGCGAGAGAGAGAGAGAGAGAGAGAGAGAGAGAGAGAGAGAGAGAGAGAGAGAGAGAGGCAGACCGAGTCAGCAGCGCAGCGCGGAGCGTGGTGAACTGGCAATCAGGACTCTTGGCCTCCGCCTCCCCCCATCAGACGGGACAGCGTGATGCGCATGATAACGGAGGATAACACGCTCGTGGAGTCGACGCGTGCAGGAGAAGCGGGCGGAACCTCCTGAGGGGCTGTGTCGGCAAGACTTCTGTCCGCGGGCAAATCAAATGGGAAAATGCCCGACGTTTAATTTTGTCTGCCTATCCCCATCTCTCTACTGCCTCTCTCGACTATACCACACTTGCTTTTCCAGAGGTGTCTCTCTCTCTCCCTTTCTCTCTCTCTCTCTCTACTCACCACCCCGACCAGCGCTCCGAGCCCTTGCCACGCTGCCGCACGAACCGCCTTCCCCGCAGCCGTCTCTTCAACGCTATCACATTTCGTTTACTTATGGCACCGTTCCCGTCGTGTCCTCTAAGTCTCCTCGCGCCTAGGACGCTAAAAACGGCCTCCCCATCGCGTTTCTCCCCCAACTCCTCCTCTGCACCCAGCTAGAGAGATCGGCGGGAGCTTTTTCGAGATTCCGTCGAGGCGTTTGTGTCTCGCGACGTGTGACACATGTGAAGGCAGAGTAACAGGAAAGAGAGAGGGGAGGGAGGGGAGAGAGAGAGAAAGAAAGGAGGGGGCGAAGCAGGAAGACGAGAGCGGAGAGAGGCCTGGACTCTCTCGCAGCAGAGTTTTTGACGGCGCCTGGCTCCGCGGACGAATGCCTGGCCGGCCGCTGGGGAAAACACACAAGGAGGATTGACGGGACGATGGAAAGGGACGACTGGGGGATGGGGAGTGGGAGTGGGCTGGCGGGTTCCGTGGGGGTGGTCATGGGCCCACGATATGAGCATGAGCCGCATATCGCAAACCTCTGTCTCTCTCTTTACTCACTCTCTCTCTCTCTCTCTCTCTCTCTCTCTCTCTCTCTTACGCTCTCTCGCTCTTTTTGCGTGCACAGCGCGAGGCAATGTAAAGGTTTGGGTACACTGACCCGCTAAAGAAGGGGGGGAGGGGGGCAGGAAGGGGAAGGGGAGGGGTGCGATGCGGGAGGTGAAGGGGGTTGTGGAGAGCCGGGGGCAGGGGAGGGAGGGGAGGGCGGTGTGAGGTAGGGACGTGAAGGGAGGGCTGGGGAGGCTCGCTCGCTCAACAAACAGGCCAGCAATAACTCACTCAGCGGCCCCAGCAGCGCCCAGCCGCGCCCCGCGATACGAAACGGAAAGTGGAGACGGAACGGCGAAACGGAACGCAAGACAGGACGCACGCAAATGGGAGAGCGAGGGAGAGGTCGTGTGTGTGAGCGGGAGAGAGGGGAGAGGGGGTGAGGGAGGGGGAGGGGGAGAGAGAGAGACCTTGTGAGATTTTTTACGGTCCGTATGTGGGTGGCATGCCGCGCGAGGGCGAGGCGTCGAGTACTCGGGCGTACACGGCGGGGCGTGGCGTCGCGGGGCAGAGCGGAGCGGGGCTCACGCAAAAAAGGACGAGTGAAATGTAGGAGATCGGCTTGTTGGCGCGCGTGCGTGCCTGAGCCCAGCGCACGTGCGCTTGAGTCCGTGTGTGTGTGTACTTCTGTGAGCGAGAGAGAGAGAGAGAGAGAGAGAGAGAGAGAGAGAGAGAGAGAGAGAGATTGCACGCGCTTTGAGGACACGTAATCGAAAACGCCTTCGCAAACGCCGGCTGCGCTCGCCTTGCTTCCCTGCTGCACATATGTCACTACTACACCGTTTGCTCCCCGCGTCCGTGTTGCTGCACGCTACCCTGAACCGTGTCATGCTCTAAATTATTTATTTATTTATTTTCCTTTAAAAAATGTGACCTTGACTTTTGCTACAAATCACTTTCTGGTTGCGGTTCACTTGCAGCGCCCATAAAAGGGTTAGCCCCCCTCCATCCTCCTTCCTCTCCACGTCGATAAAACGTCCATAACCGATGGGAAATTACAATGCCATGCTTAATTAGCGGCGCTTAATG